CGCCGTTGTTGTTGTCTCCCCTCCCCTCAGACGCCGTGGTGCAATGGCGATCCTGCGTGCAATTCTCAAAACATCCACAAGATGGCGGCGTTTATCGGTGAATCCGATATTACAAAACCGATATCCGATTATTGTAAAATGCTTAAATATCGGGGGAAAATATCGGTAAATCGATATATCGGTCGATCTCTAGTTACAACTGCAAAATTTTGTGAGCAAAAAAAAAAGGCTATTGTCTGTTGTCAATAGTGTAGAAATCTAAGAAGCACAGCTCACACAGAAGTCACAAAAGTCAAACCAAGCAGCAAATCTGTGACCAATCCGAACATGTTGCGCAATCTGCATGGGGACATTTTTCGCCCTTACACAAAATTGCCAATCGCATGGATTCCGATTGAAATGACTGGATTTTGTGCATGCAAATTCTTTAAACATGGGTAAATGTGTGTGTAAATGACACACACACACTGCCAATTTGTCAGGGCACAGCAAAGGTTAATGAAGCCGAAACAAGTGCTTCACACTCTATGCACTTCAGCCATATGATGTCATTGAGAAACTAACCAGAGCCAAAGGTCCCGCCCCCATGACTCATCACTGATTAACACATTCTTGCCTTTATGTCACAGCCATGACATCGTAGCATTTATTATCATGACTAAGAGATGCCTGGATCCCACCATTCACAGCAAATGATATACAACCGAAATATCTAAATGCTATGCTGAAATCCGTTTGAATAGAAAAGCAGTTTATGCTTTTTTTTGTTTAATGATCCGTATGCTCCAATCACCTTACACAGTCTGACATCTGTCAGTCTGGCTTCTTCAAAGAGATGTACATGCTAATGCTTCAGAAACTAAACTCCATGCAACTGTAAACTTCCTGAAAGGCATTCTGACTGCTTTAACTGGACACTCCTCTCCCTTTCTGGTGACGAGAACAGAATATTTCCTGCTCAGGAAACAGATGAACTCTGAGTCCAAATGTGGAGGTCCACAGCTGCTTCCCCGTCAGGCAGAGGATGGGTAACTACGGCCTTCCTGTCTGCTCTACTGACAGTCCTCTTAACCCCTCATATGCCAGTTGTTTTATAGGACAGGACTGGAGCGACTGAACTGTGAAAGACGCAACCGTTCCATTTACTATTTATCCACAAAGTTAATCTGCAACAGATGCGTCACATATTTGGAATTTCTTGTCTCTAACTAGCCCAGATTTCAAGGTGACTTCATCACCTGCAGGATTTTCTGCACCACTGAACTGATGTAACTCTGACATAATGCAATAGAGAATGATTTACATGATGTTTTCTTAAGTGTTATTTTACCACTGTTTATATACTATTATACAGTAGTATTTATTTTTAATTAGCTTTTATTTTAATATTGTAATTTTTTTATTTCAATATTAGCTTAGTAATGCTGTTATGTGCATTTTTCATTTTTATAATTTTTAATATATTTCTGTTTAGCATTAAATTATAGTTATTTCAGTTTTAGTATTAGTAAATTCAGTACTTACTAAAGTACTTAAAAAGTTTCCTTAAGTGTTATTTTACCACTGTTTATATACTATTATACAGTAGTATTTATTTTTAATTAGCTTTTATTTTAATATCGTCATTTTTTAATTTCAATATTAGCTTAGTAATGTTGTTATGTGCATTTTTCACTTTTATAATTTTTTATATATTTCTGTTTAGCATTAAATTATAGTTATTTCAGTTTTAGTATTAGTAAATTCAGTACTTACTAAAGTACTTAAAAAGTTTCCTTAAGTGTTATTTTACCACTGTTTATATACTATTATATAGTAGTATTTATTTTTAATTAGCTTTTATTTTAATATCGTCATTTTTTTATTTCAATATTAGCTTAGTAATGTTGTTATGTGCATTTTTCACTTTTATAATTTTTTATATATTTCTGTTTAGCATTAAATTATAGTTATTTCAGTTTTAGTATTAGTAAATTCAGTACTTACTAAAGTACTTCGGTTATTTTATTTAAACATGACATGTTTTTTTTAAGTTAGTTTTTTATTATATGAATTATTTACATGTTATTTAATAACAGCTCTGGTTTCCTCAAAGGTTCCCAAGGAGGCACATCAAACATTAAAGGAATAGTTCATTAGAAACTAAACAATTCTCCTTATGTTGTTATGTTATGGAGAAAATAACAATGAACAGAAAATGACAATTTCAGTCTGATTGAACTATGTCTTTAAGACATTTATCAAGGACAACAACAGACAAATCCAGCAAGAAAATAAATGTTGTCGACATCGTGTTCCAAAACATTCCACGCTCGTCTGAGAGAGGCAGGGATTTGTCATTAACTTAAGCCTTGAGAAAATACACTGTTAATGTGTTTGTTTTTGATTCTTTGGGAGGAGAGGACAAGTTATCTCGCTCACCAATAGCTATGGCCAATCCCTATGTCTCCACTGCCTTGTTATGACTTTATTTTGGCTTACAGACTGGAAGCACAGAATGGTGTTTACACAGTTATGTCCCGTTTCACATATTTTACATCTTTTAGGGCTATGAGGAACATATTTAATGTAATATAAACATTACTTTGAGGCTTAATACTATAGAAAAGCACTAAAGGTTTTTCAGTTAGTGTTTTCAGCTTGTTTATTTTCTTATAAAAATACAGCATGCAGTTGCACCAAACAATGGTATAACCATCATTCGATGTAAATTGTGATAATCATAATTAATAATCGCAATTACAATTGGTTACACTTTATTTCGATAGTCCACTTTAGACATTCTATTAACTATAAGTAACTTTGTAAATACATGTCAACTACATGTCAACTAATTCTCATTAATTTGCAACTACATGTCTACTAACTCTCAGAGTAGACTGTTAGGGTAGGTTTAGGGTTAGTAGAATAAGTTGACAAAGAAAGTGTTAGAAGATATTAAGCAGACAGTCTACTAATACTCTACTAACTGCTAGTTGACATGTAGTTGCAAAGTTACTTACTGTTAATAGAATGTCTTAAGTGGACTATCGAAATAAGGTGTTACCTTACAATTTCAAGGGAATAATCGACAATTATGATTTTTGTTATAATCGTGCAGCCCTATTACCTATCAAGAACAATTACTAAAAGGTTATACTTTTAGTAGTAAAATACAAAATATATAACATAACCACACAAAATATTTAAATAATAGAATCAATAGATAGACATAATGGTCTTTAATGTACTTACTTTAGTGAGATAGTAGACACACTGCTGGAAGGTGAACATGATGACTTCCTCTAGGACAGTCATGGCCTCCTCGCTGGCAGCTCGTGTGGACTGGATCTGACAATCCATTGATTCTGAGCCGATGAAGACATGATATTATTGCACATTCACAAAAGACCTCAAGAACCAGCATTCTTTTGTTCTGAACCAATAACTACAGCAATGAGCCGAAGAGACCGTGTGTCACAGTGATCTAACACATATTTAGTGTAATTTAGGACAACACAGAGGGAAGGCTGGTACCTTTGTCCATTTCCTGTCTGTCCTGCTGTCTCCACGTTAAGAGAAGGGGGACCTCATGATGGATGAAGTGCAGCAGCTCAATGGAGTTGGACATCCACAGCACTAGCGGCTGCAGGCCTGAGATCAGATCCTTGATGTTCAACACATGCTGTTCTGCTGACATATCACTGGTGCTTCTGTAGCATAGAGAGCACAATGTTGACGTTATCAAAACACAGACTCGTGTTAATTTGATTCATCCATCCATCCATCCATCCATCACTCAGTCTGCCTATCCAACAAACCAATCATCCATTCTTTATCAGACCAACCAACCATTGATTCTCCAAACCAGCCAACCATTTGTCCAGCTATATATTTTTTTTGTCCAAACAAACAAACAACCATCCGTCTAACCAACCATCCTTATATCTAAAGAACCATCCATTTACCTGTCTAACCAATCAACCATTGACCTAAAAAACCATCCCTTGATCTGTCTGACTAACCATCTATACATCAAAATATCTGTACATCCAACCAACCAGACATCTGTCTATAAACACCTGTCTATAAGCTGGTCCAAACATACATTTATCTAACCAACCATCCTTCTACCTTTTTGCCTGTCAGTCTAAATATCTGCCAATACAACCAATCAACCAACAATTTACCTCTGTAACTTTTTTGATTATATGTCTGTCTAACCAACCAAGCAACCATCTTTCTATCTAACCAACAATCTATCAAAACCTATCAGAATTTCTGTCCACCCAACCAACTAACCAATCATCTATCTAACCAGCCATCCATCAATCAACCTGTCTGTCTGTCTACATGTCTGTCCAACCAACAAACCAATCACCATATCATCATATAACCATTTACGTATCTGTCTATCCAAACATCCATCTATTAATTTTTCTGTCTAACCAACAAACCAACCAACCAACCAATTTACCATTGATCTAAACAATCATCCCTTGATCTGACTACCCAACCAACAATCAGTCTATCCATCAAGATATCTGTCCATCCAACCAACTAATCAACCATCTATCTATAATCTAAACACCAATCTATAAGCTTGTCCAACCAAACAAACCATACATCTCTCCGTTTGTTTAACAAACCACGGATCTACCAAGTCTTTAAGTCTAAATATCTATCCAAACAACCAACCAACCATCCATCTCTCTATCCATTTATTTATTCATTTGTCCAAAAAACTATCCATCTTTCTTTCTAACCAACCATCTATCTGTCTATCCATCAAAAATTCTGTCCATCCAACCAACTAACCAACCATTTGCCTGTCTATATACACCTATTTATTTGGTCTATCCAACAAATCGCCCAGCTGCACATTTATCATTTTGTCTGTCTAACCAACCTACATCCATCCATCAACCTTTCAGTCTGTCTCCATGTCTGTCCAACCAACAAACCAATCACCAACCATCCATCTAACCATTTATGTATCTGTCTGACCAACCATCCGTCCATCCACTAATTTGCCTGTCCAACCAACCAATCACTAACCATCATCTAACCATTTATGTATCTGTCTGTCCAACTGTCCATTCATTCATTCATCCATCCAATTATCCAAACATATGTCTGTCTAAAAGTCCAACCAACCATCCTAACAACTAACTAAATCAGACAAAGAAAAGCTGATTTAGCTTGGTGCAATGGTGTCACTGGCTTCACAACCTTCTATACCTAAACGCTTGCAAAACCTTTTCTATCTTTTTACTTCTATACTTTGAATAGCCCCGAAAAGAAGCAAGCAAGCCATAATCAAAAATGTTGAGGTTAATTTTCCCCCCCTTTAGTACTTCCATTCTAACCACTAATCTGTATACCTCACCACAATATGGAGGGAAAAGATAAAAAATCAGGATGTGGACTAAGCAGAAAACCAACTGATAGAAAATGCCAGCTCTCTGCTAGCCAAATCTACAATTTAAACATGAGACAATCAGAGCCTGAACCACTTTAACACTGCTGTCTCTCTGCAGACAGATTTATTACTGGACACTTCCAACAGTTAATGACATGCTCAAGTGGCCCTGTCTCGGGTCATGATTGGGCGCCACAGAGAAAACAAAAGTGAATTGAACACACATAGCACCATGGGTGATAATGCTCTTATTTCAGAGAGGCGTGTGAAAGAAGAATGGTTGCAGAAAGATATAAGCTCTCTCACATGTCTGGCTGCAGAGCTGCGAGTTCTTTTGTTCTTTCCTGTAGTGGAGGAAAAAAAACATCTCAGAAGTGCAGATCAGTTTAAGTGTGCCACAACATTTAATCTCTGACGACAACAATTACCCATTTCAGCTAGCCAAAAGGGGTGTCAAACAGGACATGCTCTTGTCCTTTAAATAGCATCATATGGACATCATAGACTTTGATATACCATAGTACTAAATGACTACTACCATGGTATACTCCAAGGTACTTTCTTATAATGGCATGGTGCTTTTCTTGTTAATGGTATTGTTGGCTGCTATTTGTACTCCCACTCACCCACATGGTGAGCTGGATCTGATTAGCGATAGAGAGCAGCAATTTCCGGAGGTGAACCAACTCAAAGTTGGTGGCGGAGTGCTGAATGCACAGACAGAGCAGAAAGGCTGGAGTAAGTTTGGGTTCTTCCCCTCCTGGGTCCACCATACTGAGAATCTTCTCCAAGACTTGATCTTCGTGCTGCACCTGATAGGACAGCGACACCACCCTGCCGTCCAAGTCCCTCCAGCGGGCGGCCATTTTTTGAGTCCTCCTCCTCCTGACGGATGTTCCACACAGATTACAGGGTGACGCTGTGGTAGAAGGACACAGCGTGGCCATCCAGGATGGGGTCTGAAAGGCTCCTGAGGCCGTAGGGTCCTTGAACATAAAGAGATAGTGCTGACCGAGCCCCACCAGGTCCCCTGGACACAACTCAACCTCGTCATCAAGGGGGATGCCGTTGTGCGTAACACATGCACTGTGGAGGGGTCTGAGCATGCTTTGCATCTTGCTACTTCCCTTGGTTTGGTCACTGGTGGCATCAAGGCGCTGTACGCAACAGTGCTGAGGTAGGATGTCAGGAGCAAAGAGTAGGACGTCCACTTTCAGGGTCTCCTCATTCTTACCAGTGGAGGTTTCAATGGAGGAGCCAAATATACAACTGTTCCCACTCATCAGGTAGATCAGAAAGTCCTGAGAAGAGATTAACAGCAAAAACAGGAGATTTTATTAACCGAAACAACATAACTGTTGGCAAATAGACTCTGAAACAAAACTTCGAGTGAGTTTACTCATCGTTAAGTACTGGGACAAACAGTGTGGGGAAAATGATTTCTATACCAAGGATTAGAGATTTTGGGATACATCTGTAAAACACGTATTCGCCTTTTGTTTTGGTGACACTTCCTGCATCTTTCATTTTCTCAAAAAAATTTTTTCTTTGCCTAACACTCAAAATGTGTCAACATGGTCTTGATACAAAAATGATATGCACTGTTAAGTTAAATATTCATTATACACATTGAAAACTCTAGCATTAGCATTTGATTATGAATTATTTGTGAGTACTGTTCTTATGGTGTTAACAATATAATAATATTTTGTATTAAATGCGGTAACCATTTTATTTTTGGGGTGTTTTTAGCTACTATCGGGACCTACTTAAAATAGAAAAATAATAAAAAATCTGAAACATTTTCTTTACAATTTTTGTGATTACCTAAAAATTATACATGTACTGTATATATTTAAAGTTTAAACTATAACATTTATCAGAATGAATGTTGCTAAAATAGCACTAAAATTATGCAAAGAGGACCTTCATGACAAAGGCTGAGTTTAATACTGCTGAATTTTATAATTTTTTTAAATAAAAGTCTATAGATATAAATATCTATAATTTTGACAAAAAGTATAGTTTTGAGGTACATTTGTGAAACCTTACAAAAGGTTTTTATTTTTAAAGACAACCTCTTCTGTACCATGTTACTTTTAAAGATAAATATTTCTAATTCAAATATGTTAATCCATATTATGTATTGAATTATGGTTTATAGACAGGTGCTTTTAGTGGATTTTATTTTTTTATTTTTTTTAGAATTTTGTGGAATTTTAAAGAGTAACTGCTGTTATATTTTAAACTAATGTCAGTTAAAGGTGTGGGACACAAACATTGTTTCATGTCTCAAGAATCAATGTGTTATGTAATCCCAGTGCACGGACAATTGATTGTAACAGAAGGAAGAAGTACAATATAAGGATGACCTTATAGGTGTCAAAACAGACTGCACTGTTGGTCGATTGATCCACTTTGAGCCGCTAAAACACATGATTCTGCTGCTCTGAAGAAGCACCTCTCAGAACTATGAGTGACTGACATAGAGCTGTTCTAAGTCCTTTAACCGAAGATAATCTCCCAAGCGCTTCACGCCATAAACTCACTCTCATTCACCCCTTTCTAAAACTCTTTTGCTTGACACAAACTGTTTCTTGTGGAAATGGACTGAGGACCCCATCATGGCTAAAGCGGCCAAGAATTAAGCCCACTTTCAAGACCAGGTACAATGTAAATGTCAAGAGTCTGTCATGAATTATCCCGTATTACTAATTAAAATAATTCATCATTTTAGCTGTTGGAACACTGATATTAAAATCACATGATCAATATTTCCCTGAATTCAGATACATGCAGTCAGTAGATGTCATTTCATGTCATTTGTATGGGGGAAAACAAACCCATATGAGACTGAAATTATGTCGATTTTAATTTAATTACTACATTTCCTAAAGTTCAGAGTTTCCAGTATACGCTGCTTTGTTGATTATAATAGGATGGGAGAAATCTGGTGTAGACATTGTGAAACAGGAAGACTAACTTTTCCAGCTAAAAACGAAAACGTAGAGGCTCGAGGGACTATGGACAAAAGCAAGAGAAACAGCAGTGCGTGGCAAAATGAGTTGTGTCAGTGCTATGGCTCACCGCAGGCTTAGTAAACAATGCTGATTATTACCTACAGTAAAGTGCAGTGCTGCACGTGTCCTCACGGCACTGGAATTTTAACTGCTGATTATAGTTCAGCATTTAAACAAGACAATACGCATATATTTACTGCTAGAACCACATGCATGTGCTTTGTATTATAACAACTGAATGGAGAATGGAGTTTCATGTCTATGGCTCTTTTTTTTCCTGTGGTTACGTTGTATAGTTACGGTTTTTCCAGTGTAGTGTGTACATGCAAAAACTCACACACACTTGACAATGCATACTCGGCATGACTGACTGAGCAATAGCAGGGTAGCGCAGTTCCCGTCTCTAAAAACGTGCCTAGCTTTCCCACACAGATTGCTACATTTAACATGTTCTTCAAACACTAGAGAAGCTACTGCAGTCGCTGTTGAAGAGAGAGAATGTCCCTTGTTTTTGTTTTAAGGAAACTATTGATTTGCCGTGAAGGACTGGCCATTTATCCATTGGAGGCTCCAGCATCTGCCACAACCCTACACAGGACAAGTGGTTTAGAGCAGTGGTTCCCAACCCTGGTCCTGGAGGCACCTCAACACTGCACATTTTGCATGTCTCCTTAATCAAACACACCTGATTCAGGTCATCAGCTCATTAGTAGAGACTCCAAGACCTCAAATTGGTGTGTCAGAGAAAGGAGACATGCAAAATGAGCAGTGTTGGGGTGCCTCCAGGACCAGGGTTGGGAACCACTGGTATAACAGAATTATACATAGAATGCATGTTAATATCAGTTGACACTTTATCTCCCAATATTATGTCTTAGTAAGATGAAATTCGTTTTTATTTATGTATTTATTTATTTTAATCAAAGCACTGTAGTTTTTATTGTGGGGGCAAAACATACAATGCAATACAATGATGATAGAGAGTTGGACAAATAAACATTCCTCGAAAGCCTGATGTATTATATTTGATACTCACATTTTTACATGATTTACAGAATGACGTATCAAGTAACATAATCAACCTAAGTAAATGTTCATCTTGAAATACTAACAAACAATATAAAAGTCATTCTTACATTTACTTTATAAAAATCAGTCACGTTTACAGCAAAAAGACATCTGTACCACAACCTGAAGATGGTTGTTTTTACAGTTACACTAAAATACCTTTTACTTGCTAAAAAAAATATCAATTAGACAACAGAATGCATGTGTACAACAGGTTTATAAGCAAAGTTTTGCTCATGCTGATCATTTAGAAGCCTTAGAAATTCATACATTAAATGTGAGACATTGGTTAATCTGCTGGCTTTGAAATTTCCGTCAGGGCATCCAAGTCCCTCCAGCGGGCGGCCATTTTTTGAGTCCTCCTCCTCCTGACGGATGTTCCACACAGATTACAGGGTGACGCTGTGGTAGAAGGACACAGCGTGGCCATCCAGGATGGGGTCTGAAAGGCTCCTGAGGCCGTAGGGTCCTTGAACATAAAGAGATAGTGCTGACCGAGCCCCACCAGGTCCCCTGGACACAACTCAACCTCGTCATCAAGGGGGATGCCGTTGTGCGTAACACATGCACTGTGGAGGGGTCTGAGCATGCTTTGCATCTTGCTACTTCCCTTGGTTTGGTCACTGGTGGCATCAAGGCGCTGTACGCAACAGTGCTGAGGTAGGATGTCAGGAGCAAAGAGTAGGACGTCCACTTTCAGGGTCTCCTCATTCTTACCAGTGGAGGTTTCAATGGAGGAGCCAAATATACAACTGTTCCCACTCATCAGGTAGATCAGAAAGTCCTGAGAAGAGATTAACAGCAAAAACAGGAGATTTTATTAACCGAAACAACATAACTGTTGGCAAATAGACTCTGAAACAAAACTTCGAGTGAGTTTACTCATCGTTAAGTACTGGGACAAACAGTGTGGGGAAAATGATTTCTATACCAAGGATTAGAGATTTTGGGATACATCTGTAAAACACGTATTCGCCTTTTGTTTTGGTGACACTTCCTGCATCTTTCATTTTCTCAAAAAAATTTTTTCTTTGCCTAACACTCAAAATGTGTCAACATGGTCTTGATACAAAAATGATATGCACTGTTAAGTTAAATATTCATTATACACATTGAAAACTCTAGCATTAGCATTTGATTATGAATTATTTGTGAGTACTGTTCTTATGGTGTTAACAATATAATAATATTTTGTATTAAATGCGGTAACCATTTTATTTTTGGGGTGTTTTTAGCTACTATCGGGACCTACTTAAAATAGAAAAATAATAAAAAATCTGAAACATTTTCTTTACAATTTTTGTGATTACCTAAAAATTATACATGTACTGTATATATTTAAAGTTTAAACTATAACATTTATCAGAATGAATGTTGCTAAAATAGCACTAAAATTATGCAAAGAGGACCTTCATGACAAAGGCTGAGTTTAATACTGCTGAATTTTATAATTTTTTTAAATAAAAGTCTATAGATATAAATATCTATAATTTTGACAAAAAGTATAGTTTTGAGGTACATTTGTGAAACCTTACAAAAGGTTTTTATTTTTAAAGACAACCTCTTCTGTACCATGTTACTTTTAAAGATAAATATTTCTAATTCAAATATGTTAATCCATATTATGTATTGAATTATGGTTTATAGACAGGTGCTTTTAGTGGATTTTATTTTTTTATTTTTTTTAGAATTTTGTGGAATTTTAAAGAGTAACTGCTGTTATATTTTAAACTAATGTCAGTTAAAGGTGTGGGACACAAACATTGTTTCATGTCTCAAGAATCAATGTGTTATGTAATCCCAGTGCACGGACAATTGATTGTAACAGAAGGAAGAAGTACAATATAAGGATGACCTTATAGGTGTCAAAACAGACTGCACTGTTGGTCGATTGATCCACTTTGAGCCGCTAAAACACATGATTCTGCTGCTCTGAAGAAGCACCTCTCAGAACTATGAGTGACTGACATAGAGCTGTTCTAAGTCCTTTAACCGAAGATAATCTCCCAAGCGCTTCACGCCATAAACTCACTCTCATTCACCCCTTTCTAAAACTCTTTTGCTTGACACAAACTGTTTCTTGTGGAAATGGACTGAGGACCCCATCATGGCTAAAGCGGCCAAGAATTAAGCCCACTTTCAAGACCAGGTACAATGTAAATGTCAAGAGTCTGTCATGAATTATCCCGTATTACTAATTAAAATAATTCATCATTTTAGCTGTTGGAACACTGATATTAAAATCACATGATCAATATTTCCCTGAATTCAGATACATGCAGTCAGTAGATGTCATTTCATGTCATTTGTATGGGGGAAAACAAACCCATATGAGACTGAAATTATGTCGATTTTAATTTAATTACTACATTTCCTAAAGTTCAGAGTTTCCAGTATACGCTGCTTTGTTGATTATAATAGGATGGGAGAAATCTGGTGTAGACATTGTGAAACAGGAAGACTAACTTTTCCAGCTAAAAACGAAAACGTAGAGGCTCGAGGGACTATGGACAAAAGCAAGAGAAACAGCAGTGCGTGGCAAAATGAGTTGTGTCAGTGCTATGGCTCACCGCAGGCTTAGTAAACAATGCTGATTATTACCTACAGTAAAGTGCAGTGCTGCACGTGTCCTCACGGCACTGGAATTTTAACTGCTGATTATAGTTCAGCATTTAAACAAGACAATACGCATATATTTACTGCTAGAACCACATGCATGTGCTTTGTATTATAACAACTGAATGGAGAATGGAGTTTCATGTCTATGGCTCTTTTTTTTCCTGTGGTTACGTTGTATAGTTACGGTTTTTCCAGTGTAGTGTGTACATGCAAAAACTCACACACACTTGACAATGCATACTCGGCATGACTGACTGAGCAATAGCAGGGTAGCGCAGTTCCCGTCTCTAAAAACGTGCCTAGCTTTCCCACACAGATTGCTACATTTAACATGTTCTTCAAACACTAGAGAAGCTACTGCAGTCGCTGTTGAAGAGAGAGAATGTCCCTTGTTTTTGTTTTAAGGAAACTATTGATTTGCCGTGAAGGACTGGCCATTTATCCATTGGAGGCTCCAGCATCTGCCACAACCCTACACAGGACAAGTGGTTTAGAGCAGTGGTTCCCAACCCTGGTCCTGGAGGCACCTCAACACTGCACATTTTGCATGTCTCCTTAATCAAACACACCTGATTCAGGTCATCAGCTCATTAGTAGAGACTCCAAGACCTCAAATTGGTGTGTCAGAGAAAGGAGACATGCAAAATGAGCAGTGTTGGGGTGCCTCCAGGACCAGTGTTGGGAACCACTGGTTTAGAGAACAGATGGATGGATGGAACTACAGAATTGTTTGTTATTTAATTAATCGAATTGATTTCAGCTGTTGTGGTGTGATGGAATCAACAGGCCTCAATCTCTTTTTCCTTCACTGTTGTCTTCAATCTGTTGGATCTCTGGGTTTATTAAGAACGCTTGTGGGTGTGTTCTTATCATTTCTCTCACACACCTCGCCTCCTCCTCATGTCTATGGCTCTTTTTTTTCCTGTGGTTACGTTGTATAGTTACGGTTTTTCCAGTGTAGTGTGTACATGCAAAAACTCACACACACTTGACAATGCATACTCGGCATGACTGACTGAGCAATAGCAGGGTAGCGCAGTTCCCGTCTCTAAAAACGTGCCTAGCTTTCCCACACAGATTGCTACATTTAACATGTTCTTCAAACACTAGAGAAGCTACTGCAGTCGCTGTTGAAGAGAGAGAATGTCCCTTGTTTTTGTTTTAAGGAAACTATTGATTTGCCGTGAAGGACTGGCCATTTATCCATTGGAGGCTCCAGCATCTGCCACAACCCTACACAGGACAAGTGGTTTAGAGCAGTGGTTCCCAACCCTGGTCCTGGAGGCACCTCAACACTGCACATTTTGCATGTCTCCTTAATCAAACACACCTGATTCAGGTCATCAGCTCATTAGTAGAGACTCCAAGACCTGAAATTGGTGTGTCAGAGAAAGGAGACATGCAAAATGAGCAGTGTTGGGGTGCCTCCAGGACCAGTGTTGGGAACCACTGGTTTAGAGAACAGATGGATGGATGGAACTACAGAATTGTTTGTTATTTAATTAATCGAATTGATTTCAGCTGTTGTGGTGTGATGGAATCAACAGGCCTCTCTTTTTCCTTCACTGTTGTCTTCAATCTGTTGGATCTCTGGGTTTATTAAGAACGCTTGTGGGTGTGTTCTTAACATTTCTCTCACACACCTCGCCTCCTCCTGTGTGAGAGGTAAGCTGCTCCAGGCAGCCCTCGTGTTGACCAGAGCTCCAGTTTAGCTCCTCTCTCACTCATTGCCAGCCAGTCCCAGGACGCCTGCACACACATGGATCACCTGTCTGTCCAAATCCTGTCACTCTGGACCTGTGCCAATCCTGGAGAAAACCCCACCTCTCTCTAGTACAGTGAGTGGCTAGCAGCCAGGATAGTCCTCACCAGATTAAACTGTTTCAGTCAAGCCTTTACTGCACTGTCAACAACTTGGGATGAATGCGCCAATGACTTATGTAAGGTTTAGGAAAGCGTCTTTAACTGGGGTCGTGGACATCTGATCACATCGTGCTATGCTTGTTTGTTATTTTGACAGATATTGCGATGTTCGACCATTATATGATACATATGTAGCATCTCAGACTGATGCTAGTAAGATATCAAGGCTAAAAGAACAAAAAAAGCATTAAATAACACTGAAGCAGCTTGTTCAACAGGGTGTGCAAAACCTGATAAAATTGTAAGCCTTCAATGCAATGTACGTTTCTTCAGATGACAGCATAAATGTAAACATAAATGCCCTCAAACCAAATAGATATATCAAGTTTTCAGCAGCTTTTAACAATGAAATACGTGGGTCGAATTGACAAAACACCATAATATAGCCTAAATTTTGCACGCAAATTCCACAATATATTAAAGTTTCACCCCTTTGCAGGCAAGTATATGACCTTAAATGAGAAAAAGTCACAATTTCAAAGCATCATCAGCATTTCCAACAACTCAAACATTGAAATGGGTCAAACTGACCCATTAATACAAGGTCTATACAGTGCCTTGTGAAAATATTCATAGCCCTTCATTTTTTTCACATTTTGTTAAGTTGCTGCCTTATGCTAAACTGCTTTAAATTACTTTTTTCCCATATCAATCTACACTCCATACACCATAATGGTAAAGCAAAAAACAGGTTTTTAACATCTTTGCAAATTTATTAAAAATAAAAAACTTAAATGATTCCATTGCATCTGGGACAGTTGGTCTATATACGGCTCAGGCCCTTCCTTTAATGTAAAATGTGAGATTTTTCATCTACTTCAAAAGGGGCATTCAGTAGCATTTAGCTAGCATTAGCATCACTGTTCTTTGTGTACTTTAAGTACTGATATCACAAATTCCCTTGTGGTATGTTTACATAGGGCTGGGCGATATAGCTAAAAAAATGTATCAACCCACGTCTCGTGGGCTAGACTAACAAAACATTAAAATGCAACAACGTCACTTGCATCATCATCACCGCATCTCGCGCTCCACTTATGACGCTCCCTGATGCACACCTAACATTCAAATGCAAATGTTTATTTTAAATTTGACTAATATTCATTGTTTATTTACAATCTCCTCATCACAGGCATGCACAGCACTCATTTCAGCATGTGTTTGTGTGTGCTGTCTGCGTCACTCATAGTACATGCCTATATCATGCGCTATATCGAACAATTTTTCTATCGATATCGAAGAAGGTGTACCGTCGATAAATATCGATACCGTTTTATCGCCCAGGCCTATGTTTACACACCTGTTTTTCTGTTTTCTGTCTTTAGACTTTTTCTGCTTTAGCCAAACAGGTACTGAGTCTTCTGTTGTCTCCGTTTGTGTGTTTCACTGTCAAGTTTTCACTCTTCGAATCACCAAACTACATGCTACTAGCATATCTACAGATGCGGCAGCATATCTACAGATGTGAGCGTGAGGATGTTTAGTGAAACACCACGGGTCACGTCATTTCAACATGGCTAAACACACTGAGGGGGCGACCTACACCAAATACAACTATTACGTAGTCTTCATCTCATGAAGTGTACACCATCCAGATTAATTTTTGACAAAAACACAATTTATATCTTGACATGTAAAACCTTTTTATATTAGCAACAAACTACTGAATGCGTCTTAAAAAGCCAAAAGTTCTTCTCAAAAAGCCATATGATTAGTAAATCACTGATGTACATAGTCAAAACAGCCACTGTTCTACCTGTCTGTGGTTGTATCCTTGCAGCAGAAGGAAATATGGGAAATCAAAGGGCAGGTGGATGGAGTACTGTGTGTTGTTGTCATCGCTGCTTTCCGTCTCCTCTTTCTCTGCGTTAAGGCGGTGAGACTCTTTATCAGCCTCTGCCTCTGGATCCTCCTGTAGAGGTGCATTATGGGTCTCACTGGCTTCTTTTCCCATAGTTGAGACGTCCATGTCACTCAAGCTCCTCCAGATACCCAGAGCATCCACCCCTTCATTCGTCCCATCCACATACAGGGAGGTGATCCGCGAACGGGCATGCTGCAGCTTTCGGGCTTGGGCATTGAGGCCTGGGGTGATACAATTTTTTTTAAATATATGATTTACACATAAAAACCTATAGACAACATTTGCTTAAAGGGGTCTTTTTTTTAGCAACATCATATGACCCCTTTAAGAGGATGATAGCACAGAGTATTCATTTGTCAGACTTCTTACTGCATGAGCAACAAAAAGCAGCATAAAGTCAGAATTGCCTAAAATTATGAAATGAAATGAAATACAATAAATGTTATGCTTTCATACGTTCTTGTAAATATAGCTGTAAATCTGCCACATTTTGTTCAGATGATCTGCTATAGGATGACTCTGGATGGGAGTGACCTACAGCGTATTAAAAGTAATCAGATTATTTTTTTCAAGTAACTAGTAAAGTAATGCATTACTTTTTAATTTAGAAGAAAATATCTGAGTTACTTTTTTCAGATAAGCAACACCAGTTACTTTGTTTTCCCATTTATTGACTGACAGCTCTCCTGTCCCCATGTTGAGAGAAATCGGGAGTAAGTGCAGAGGTGTTGTGTGAACATGATGTTACTGTAGTTCTGGACTAAATGTGAACATGCATTTACTCATCTCACTTGCACAAAAACAGATTCAGTATTACTCAAAATGACTACAAACAGTGAAAAGCAAACTCAGAATATTATGGAAACCTGCAATAATTAAATATGTTAAATAGCACAAATATCCTTTATGTATTTAATCC